ATAAGCTTAAAGGGTTGGCTTCAATCTCCATTTAAATCTGTGCTGGAAAACTGTGACTCCAAAGCAACCAAATGATGTTATTGGTGTATTTTCACATGAGTAGGACACCCATGAGTGGAAAGGAATTAACCATTATTGAGCTATTATGATTCAGGCATTTTGAATATATTTTTACATTTAATCTTTATCAAAAGGCTACATATGGACAATTATTAGTTTGTACTAATGTTAAACTAGTATAGCAAATAAATCCCCAAATTTCAGTGGCTCAGCACAATAGGTTATTTTCCTCTAAACAGCCCAATTGGGTCTCAAGACAATGGTGTCAAGGATGGGGTTGAGGAAAAAGGGGTGTGATTATTGCTGCAAATAATGCTACAGTGAGCATGGGGTGCAGATACTACTTCAAGATAGTGATTTTGAATTCTTCGGATGTGTACCCAGAAATGGCATTGCTGGACTATATGGTATTTCTATTTTTAATTTTTTAGGAACCTGCATACTGTTTACTATAGTGGCTGCACCAATTCACACTCCCACCCAGAGTTGCACAAGTGTTCCCTTTTCTCCCTACCTTCACCCACACTTGTTATCTCTTCGATTTTGTTGTTGTTTTTTATGACAGTCATTCTAACAGGTATGAGGTAATTTCTCATTCTGATTTTAATTTTTTTAACCCTCACCTGAGGATATGTTTTTGTTGATTTTAAAGAGAGAGGAAAGGGAGAAAGAGAAACACCAATCGGGCACCTCCCATATGCTCCCCAACTGGGGATCAAACCCACAACCTTTTGGTGCATGGGACAATGCTCCAATCAACTGAGCCACCTGGCCAGAGCTCTCATTGTGTTTTTGATCTGCATTTGTCTATTGATTACTGATGTTGAGGATCTTTTCATGTATCTGTTGGCCATTTTTATGTCTTCTTTGAAAAAATTTGAAATCTTTTTAGTTCTTCTGCCCATTTTTAATCAGTATTTGGGGTTTTTTTCTTTTGCTATTGAGAAGTTTAAGTTCTTTATATACTTTGAATATCAGCCCCTTATCTGATAAATGTTTTCTCCCATTTCATAGGTTGTCTTTTAATTTTGTTGATTATTTCTTTTGCTGTGCAGAAGCTTTTTAGTTTGATGTAGTCCCAGTTGTTTATTTTTGCTTTGGTGTCAAATCCAAAAAATCATGGCCAAGACCAATGTCAAAGAGCTTATTCCCTGTGTTTTCTTATGGGAGTTTCAAGGTTTTAGGTTTTACATTCAAGTCTTTAATTCATTTTCAGTTTATTTTTATGTATGGTATAAGATAGAAGTCTAGTTTCATTCTTTTGCATTTGGCTATCTGGTTTTCTCAACACCATTTATTGAAGAGACTGTCCTTTATTCGTAATATATTTCTGGCTTCTTTGTCATAAGTTAATTGACCACATATGCATGTTTTTTCCCAGGATTCTCTATTCTGCTCCATTGATCTGTGTGTCTGTTTTTATGCCAATGCCATGTTGTGTTTTGAAATCTCTTTGTAATATAATTTGAAATCAGGACCCATGATGCTTCTTTCTCAAGAGTGCTTTGGCTATACAGGGTCTCTTGTGGTTCCATACAAATTTTAGGATTGTTTTTTTCTATTACTATGAAAAATGCCATTGGAATTTTGATAGATTCTGTAGATTTCTCTGAGTAGTATGGACATTTAATCTGTATTAATTTTTCCAAACCATAAGCACAGAGTATCCTCCCACTTATTTGTGTCTTCTTTGATTTCTTTCATCAATGTCATATAGCTTTTAGTGTATAGATCTTTCAACTATAGCTAACTTTATTCATAAATATTCTAATCTTTTTTTTAATTTTATTTTTAGACAGAGAGGAACTAAGGGAGAAAAAGAGGGAAACATCAATGTGTGGTTGCATCTCGTGTGCCCCCTACTGGGGACCCAACCCACAACCCAGGCACATGTCCTGACTGGGAGTTGAATCTGTGACCTTTTGGTTCACAGACTGGTGCTCAATCCATTGAGCCACACCACACCCACCAGGGCTATTTTATTCTTTTTAATGCTGTTATAAATGGGATTATTTTTCTCTTTCTGTTTGTTGTTAGAAATGTGTTTAGAAATGCAACTGATTTTTGTGTATTGATTTTGTATCTTGCAACTTTACTGAATTTGTTTATTCTAATAGTTTTTTGGTGGAGTCTTTAAAGTTTTTAAAGATGACACATGTCATCTGAAAATAGAGACCCTTTTACTTCTTCTGTTCTGATTTGGATGCCTTTTATTTCTTTATCTTGCCTAATTGCTCTGGCTAGTTGAATAAAAGTGGTGAGAGGGGGTATCCTATCTTAGAGGAAAAGCTTTCAGTTCTTCCACACTGTGATGATAAGAACTACTTATCTGGAGCACTTGTGTTTCATTACAGCTTTAACTTAAGCTGAATCAAAGTTCTGGAGCTTATTGCAGTGTTACTCCCTACTTTATTGTAAGGGAGCTAGAGCCAGATAACAATTAAGATTCCTTCCCAAGCTAAATGTTTATGATTCTTATGTCACACCACTCTTAGCTCTGACTTTGTTCTGTCTTTTCATAAGTGCAAAGGTGAAAAAAAAAACAAGCTTGTTTTGGTATCTGAATCAGAGAATCCCTGGTTCTCAACATGTGGAGGTCTCCTAGAGGTCAGAACCCCACAGCACCCCCCACTAGTGGCCGCCCACACTTGGACCATCTGCCTCCTTGGGCAGGAGGGCTCATCCTGTACCTACAGTTCCGCTGCCAGCCTCCCACCAAACCAGCCAGCAGTTTCACAGAAGATATTTTAAGGGCATGGCGTTCCTGCCCACAGCCACCAGCAGCGGTTACTACCCATGGACAGCCTGGCACCCCATGCTTTGTCACGATCAAGTCATGGAATGGGCTGGCAGTGAGCACAGGCTTTTGTCAAGCTCTTTTTTGTAGGTGAGTGTGCTCCCAGCCCAAAAAAGATGGGGCGAGATGCCTTGATCTGTGGCCTGCATGAGTGTTCCCGTTCGTGTATCCCTCCAGAGCAAAATCCCATTTCTGTGTAGTATTGTTAACATAGAAAATGCAGCTTTCAGAAGGTGTGAGTGGCCTTGACAACCTGTACTTCAGGTGTACCCTATTCATATTGCCCAGCTGTGATTTTCAGGCCCTTGGAATTGCTTTGCTTTTGCCTTTAAAAAATGTGGCTTTTCCTGTGTGAGCCTTCATTGTACACCACTCATATTTGTAGCTTTACAGCCCTCCCTGTGTGATCCTCGTATGCTTTTCTTGACATTTTGATACAGTTTGCTGGCCAAAGAAAAAAGAACCAGACATATTTTTTAAGTGGCTTTGTGGTGAGTAAATCCTGCCTGCTGCACGTTTTTCATTTCTGCTGTTGGGATGCTTGCGTTGTTCTCCACATTCTAAAATAAGAACGCCGGTTTTAGACGTAGCTACTTCTAAAAGCAAAGAGAGAACAAAGCAGAGAAGTTGGATGGAACACAGACTTCTCCCGAAATGTCGGGGAAAAGTCACTGAGGAGTACATGAAAGTGAAAATCTAGGCTTGGTGAATTAGTTATTTCAGTCTGCTGTGGTGCCGAGAAATGGTCAGCCACCATGAGCTGGAAAGAAAACTCAGAGGAGAGAGTGGTGGGAAAGTGTAGTTCACAAATGAAGGGGAAAAAACGTTAATGTTTCAAAGATTTTAAAAAATCTAAATCTACAGATTATCTGCTTCAAATCCTTTTTGGAGAGAAGCAGTTGGTACATAATTCTTGCTGCGTATTCAGACACATGTAAAATAGGGACCAAAGGTCTCGTCGGCGGGACCTGCTCCGCGGGTAGGACGTGCTCCGCGGGTAGGACTTGCTCCACCCGTAGGCTGGCGGATGCTGCTCTGCAGTTGCACACTGCTGAACTCCCCCTGAGCACACCAGCCGCGATCGTTCTTAACCGTGAGGTTCTGACTGTACACGCGCTGATCGCTAGATCGGAAAGGTACTGACACTGTCGTCAGATGTCTGGGTTTGAGAATAATTCTTTAGGATAACTGTGTGTGTTGTCAGGTCTTCAGCACGTGTGCTTTGTTGCCGGTACCCCCTTGCTCCCTGGTTCCTAACAGAACTCCGATTCTGGTCAGTCTCCACTTCCTCCCTCCCTGTAGGGGCCTCCACCAGGGGGTGCGTCCCCATTGGTTGCGCCGATCGCTGTGGCCTGTTCCCAGTGCCGGTGATTGGTCTGGGCGTGGGCCTGTGACACAGCTCTGGCCACTAGACGGTCGGGGAGGCCCGCTGGAGGGTTTCTGGAAAGACTTCTTGCTTCCGGTAGAAATGCGCGGCTTGCCAAGCACGAGTGTGAGGCCCTTGAGTGTGGCCACAGTCTTATGACCCCCTTGAGGGCAGCCATCCTAGGGATAGGACAGACAGGAGGGCAGAGCGCCCAGAGAGGGAAAGGCCCTGGCTTCCCGATGACGCCACTGAGTTGCTGAATTAACGGATCCTAGAGCTGCTCTTCCCGATACTACAGCTGATTATGGGACAGTGTTGATTGATGAGTCCCGTAGCATTAGCTACTGTTTCCCGTTACCTGTAGCCTAGCCATCGTCATAGATGCAGGAATTAAGGTGAAACAAAAAATAAAACTAGAAAAAACAAAGGTTATCACAACCACGTCTCATTTATAACCTATATGAGTGTGACATTCAGCTGGGTCAGTGATCAGAGCTCCCCGCCCAGCGCGATTCATCAGGAATGGGCACGTGGGTGTTCATCGTGTCCTAGGAGGGGCCCCAGGAAGAGAACCAGTGTCTTTTCGTGTTAGTGGCCAGTTCTGTTAAGGATATTGGTTCAGCCACTTTAACAGAAGTTGAAATAACAATGACTTTAAAAGGTGTTTGTGGGATTGATTTTTTTTTTCTCCTGAAACAATTTAAGATGGTAGGCAGTCAAGGAAATGGGTGCCTTCCACCAAGGGGTCACCCAAGGTTTTTCTCTGTCATCCATTAGGATGTCTTGCATGTCCACCAAGAAGGCTGCCTGTCACCACGCCAGTGACTCAGAGACTGCAAAGGGGGAAGAAGGAAGGTCACAGTGCGACCACACATATTACCTCCAGTCACTACTCACCGTCCAGAGCTTGATTATGTGAGTCTGACACTTGTTGCAAGGGAGTCTGGGAATATTATCTCTAGTGGGGTGACCATGTATTCAGTTAAAACCTAGAGGATTCTGTTAGGAAGGAGAAGAAAATAGATATTCATGGGTAATTAGAAGTGTCTGCCACATTCTGTGTCCTCTACAATGAAGACAATGAAGAGAAATAAGGTGACAAAGACAAGAGTATTGGGTGCCATCCTGTGGTTGTGCAGCAAGAGTTTCAGCCGTGAGAGCCAGCTCCCTGAGCCACCAGGAACCTTGTGCTACTTCTGACCTGTCCTGGCCTCTCTGCTGGTCAACCAAGAAACTTGAACCAAGTGGCGTTTAAAACCTCTTCAAAATCTGGTTTTGTCCAGCGTGGTCTCACGGGCATTCTATTTCTAGAGTGGGGTAGAGACAGGGGCAAGCAGGGCGAGTGTCTCACACATGGGTGGTGGGTGTTAAAGCCACAAGAGAAGTCACTGTTACCTTCTACTGAGCGGCTCTGAGGAGCCAAGTACTGTGCTCTGTCCCGAACACAGGTTAACCTCACTAACCCTTCTGCCGCCTATGCAATGGACTCTGTGATTGCTCCCATTTCACAGATGGGAAAGCTGCAGCTCAGCAAGGGTTGGGGAAGGGCTCCGGACCTAGCCCGCTGGCCCCTGGGCCCGTGCTCCAAACTGAGTGATATGGGAGGAACTGGGACGTGGAGTGGGACTTGTGGCATGTAGCCAGGTTATAGCGAGTCCTGAAGAGCAGGGCCATAGAGCACTGGGCCTGGTGCTACCTTCATCCAGGGCCAGCTTTGGGACTGATCCCCAGTGCTGACTGTCTCCCTCCTACCCAGTGGTCACCCTGTTCCTGTCACGGATTACATCACCCCTCATTGCTCCGGGGTAGAAGACAGGCTGTTCTATAGGAGCAGAGGACCTGGTGAGAAGGAACCCTCAGAGTGTCCACTGTGGGCAGGCCCCACATGGCTATTAGGCATCCTTTCAGATGTTGCCCTTGCTGGGGAGAACAGGGAAGCCCCTGGGCTTGCTCCAGTTCTCTGTTCCCCAAGGAGGCTGGTGCTGGGAAGAGTTAAACCCTGGCCTAGAAAATAAGGGTAGGCTTGTGCCTCAAGCCAGCACCCATTGGTAGCATGCCTCCTGGGGTCAGCCCCCACCCTTGCTCTGACCTACAGCCTTTGTGCCCTGAGGGGCCTCCAAGGGGTGTGTTTATTCTTTTTGGAGGAGGGACTCCTTGGGGTTAGTGTGTACTCTGGCCTGAGTAGGGTGAGTGAGACTTTTCCTTTTTTTTTTTTTTTTTTTGTAATAATTGCCAGTTGTACTCCTCTGACTAAGAGATCCAGAGGATTTGAGGTGATTTAACATTTTAACAGTTATTTCATCAAGAGTGTTGGTGCCCCCACTGCCCTTATAAGCTGGTTGCAAATTGTTTGATTCTCTTACTAAAAAAATTTTCATTCTGTCTATGACACCTGTTCATTAAAAAAGAAAACTCACACTACACGGAAACATGCACAGTTAAGCTTTTGATGTATGCATGTACATAGGTATGTATACACACACACACACACACACACACATGCACCCAATTTGGGATTTTTATCCTACACATGTGAGCTGATACTAAATGTGCTGCTCTGTAACTTGTTACGTTTTACTTGACAATATGAAATGAACATATTTCCGTGCATTTGTGTGAAACTTCCCAACTGAATAGAGAGGGGAACCGGTCAAGATACAATCTAGTAAGATGCTTGTAATGAGGAAACTATCAAAACCAAAATTCCACCAGATGATTCAAAGTAAAACATACATCAGAAAATGCTAACGGAAAGAAAGCAGGGAACAGATTTTACTCTCAGATTAAAAAAAAATTCCCCTCCCTAAGCGCACAGGGTAAGGACGTCTGCATGAACGTCTTTGCTTCCAGTGCATCATCACAAACTTGTTTCTTGCTCTTCTACTTGCTTCCCTGAGCCTTTCCAACTCCTCAGCTCCCCTTAGCATTTCTTCAGGGTCCAGGTACCTGATGGGACTCTGGGACTGTCCTCTTTAAATCCCTGGACAGGTTGAGTCGGCCCATTTCTGAGGTTTCCTTCTGCTTCCTGGATCACACCTTCTTGGGAAGGTTGAGGGTTTCCTTCTGCCTCCTGTGGTACATCTTCCGAAGGGCGGCCTTCCTCGGCGTTTGGCATGTTCTGTGGTTTTCTTTCATTTTCTTCACAAGACTCTTGCACATTGAATATTTTTCCATTATTTCCTTTTTGAATAAATTCATCCTGCAGGGATCCAAGGGACTTTTCTCCTTCCCTCACTTGATTTGCATCACACCCCAAAGACCCAGAGTCCTGAAAGGGACCCGGGTCACTTTCCTCCTTCAGCCACAGGGGCTGCCCCAGAAAACAGTCGGCTGGGAGTGACACTTGTGCGACTCACCTGCCTGCAGGTGCCAGACCACAGGCAAAGCCTCCCCATGGGGAAACAGACCCAGCCAAGGTGAGGTGTGGAGGATACCGTACAGCAGTATCCATCTTGGCTGCAGATGCTCATCAAAGCATGCTAAAAACATGCACAGAGACAACCAGGTCCTGTGGGGGAATAGGAACAGAAGGGCCACTCCTCACATGGGGAGCACCTTGTCCCCTCTCCGGAGAGGCTTTTTATTGGTTTCGTTTGAATACGAATTCAGGTAAAAGCTCATTACTCATTGCTAGGAAGTAAGGATCAAACAGTAGATAACAAGGAAGTCTGAGGGCCTATTTTGAGTCAGGGTCAAAGAGCTGTGAAACTTTAAAGTACAAACTTACTTCTTCCTTGGACCCTTATCATTCAACTGAGAGCATTCTAAACAAAGCAAGTTTCACAGGATTTTACATATTCTTTCTTAGGCCTGATCACCTGGGGAAGCCGCCCTTTTCAGCACAGAGCTACACCACCCTGTCATTGTTTCAGGCTTAGGTGGAGCAAGGGAACTAAGGCAACCAAGAGATAAGGAGATTTTCTCCCAGAGATGAGGACTCAGGCTATGTCAAAGCCCAGGAGCAAGGGTCCATCACCCCCTTTTGCTGTAGCCTCCAAAGTCCTTTGGGGGCCTCGCATGTGATCGTGCCTGTCTTAGGCCGTTCCCCCCTTCATTGGCTAACCAACCAAGCATTGGGGTTTAGTTATGAATGAAGCAGCAGAAGCAGCACTCCTGCCAGGGAGATAAGCTTTTGTCTCCTTGCTGGTTTACAATCCAAGGCCACTCCCTCAGCCTTAGCCTTGGCGGGGGGGTTACAGCTTCTGATACGAGGCAGGGCAGTTCCCAACAGTGAGGGCTCCCCTGCCCAGCTGCTGTGGAACCTCTAGGCAGCCACCTTTCCCCAGACACAGCAGACTCCATGCAGGTGCAGCTGCCTCCCCTCTCTGGCTCCTCTTATTCACAAACGGTGCAAACTCTCCTACTGCCCCCTACAGTCGGTACATCAGTGCACTCTTAATGCTGTTTCTTTGGTTCATTTGTTTTCCTAAAATGCAATTACAAATGCAGCAGCTCCAGTCTGCTCTTCAAGACTGGGCTCTGGCTGAACCTCCTCGAGGAAACCTGTCCGCCCTCTCTAGGCCAGGGTAGGCCTCCTCCCCTCCCTCATCCCGCTTCCCCAGTGGCACTGGTTTCATATGGCCCGATCATCTGTTTATATTGGGTTGGCCAAAAAGTCCATATAGTATTTTCCATAAAATAAAAAGACACATTTTTTAATTTTCACCGATAACTGTAGTGATTTAGATATTTTAAGTATGTTGGCTATCTCCTACTATTGGCTTCCAGTCGGTAGCGGCCAGGGGTAGTGCTAAACGTCTTCCAATGCATAAGACAGCCCCCCAGCAAAGAATTATTTGGCCAAAATGTCAGTAGTGCCAAGAAAATTTGCAAACTAGTTTTGGCATGTTCTACCAGTCACAGCACCTTCTCCATACACTGCACAAATCTTTTTTTTTTTTTTTTGCAGCTCAGTTGCATTTTTACCTTTCTTGAAATAATAAAGCAAAATACGCCAAAAATGTTGCATGGTTTCTTCCATCTTTAATATTAAAATGGCTGCATAAAAAGTCACCAATTTGGATAAGTTTTTTTTTAAATGCACTCTGGTAGGAGACAATACAATCTAACAAAATTGTTTCAAATGAAGTTAAAGACTACTAAGCACTACTAGAGACACCATACAGGAAGCACTAAACAAATTTTTTGGTCACCCCAATGTTTACTCAGTGTTCCTCTGATCGGACTGTGAGCTTCCTTTCTTTCTACACCTTTTAGAAAACTTTTACTTTGAAATGTGCACAAAAGCAGAGAGGATCAGGCCACATGCCCCCACGGACCTGTCACCCAGCTGCAACATCTGTCAGCATTTGCCAATCTAGCTTCATTAATTCCTCCTCAGATGCCCTCCCAATATTTTAAAGCAGTTCCTAGATCTCATACCACATTTACCATAAATACTTCTGTACATTTCAGCTGTGAGCTTCAAGATAGCAGAGACTTGTCCTGTGTCCTGTGTCCTCAGCACTGCAGATGGTGCACGACACACAGTGGCTCCTGGAAAATGTGTTGTTTTGAATTGACTGACTAGATGGACGAATTGGTTTCAACCTTTAGAAGTGAGCCCGCAAACTAGACGGAATGTGAGTGCCTGGAATGTAAATGCCAGCCAGGAGCCCACTGCCTCTGTGGGGCCTGTCCCAGAGCCTGGGCTTTTCAGGAGGTTCTGGAATCTGTCACTCACCAGACTTTAAGGTTGGTTGATTCTTAGCCAAGCATCTCTGATGTTGCAATTACCCTGTACTTTGAGGTAACCTTGGATAGGGAGGACTATTAAGATAAAGCTTTTATCTCTGCTTGGTTCATATTTAGCTCACAATTATAGACCTGAGGCTTTTTAAAAATTATAATACTGTATTTACTTAGGCCAAAACGAATAGGACCAAGAAAAAAATCAAAGTATATAATACGTCTGAAGTATTTTCTTTAATACCATCTTTCTATCTTGGAAATGGTATTTTAACTACACAAATGAGAGATAATTGGATGCACATTTTTTCCCAAGCAGTTATGGCTATATTTAAAACCCTAAAATCTGTATACATTGAGGGAGACCCTGAGACCAGAGTCACTCAATGTGACATTTCTAGCTCTTACAAGGTGAAAGTCAGGCCTGGGCTTGAGCTTTGAAAGCCCCTGGTGGTAGAATGGTAGCTTGTAAAAATGCCTTTGACGTATTCTTTCTTTCTCTTAATTCAGAAATGGTATTTACCGTAATATAATGGGAAGTGCCTATTAACTAGTACTTTTTTCCCCAAAATTATATTTTAAAATGTTTTATGGTTCAAATCTGCTGTAAAGTTGAATTACAGTTGGCTGAGTTTTGTTTGTTTTATTATTTGCTGTTTCGCCAGGAATTCAGAGTAACAATTGTGTTTCTGGATTTAAGACATTTTTACCATGCCGGTTTAGCGCAGGGGACTAAGGCTGCGCCCAGCAGACATCTGATGACTGGCCACTGTTCTGCGTTCAGCCTGAGACACAACACAGTTGTTTCCACTGAAATATTTGTAGGAACTGGGTTCGGTCATGATGCCACGTTGGGCCTGGAGCACCTTTTGCACAGACGGCAGCGTCTGGGGATCAGGAGCTGTGGGAGTCGGACTGAAGTATGTCATACTCCCACAGCGTCTTAGCCTGCTGAGGGAGTAGTGAATCCTCCCAGGAGCTTTCTTTCCTGGGCTGTGAGTGAGCAGGCTGTGGGGTTTCTTCTGTGGACCCAGAGACCTAGCTGTCACCGTATATGACTTGGGCAAGACTGTGGAGTGTCTAGAGGTGCTGCAGCCAACTCCATGAGTGTATATACAGACTCCCATGGCAGGAATGTGCAGGAAGATGGCCAGAGAGGATCCATGGACTGTGTGACTCTTTGAGCAGCCCCATGAGCGTCCCTGCTAGGGATGGAAAAAGAGAAAGGGGTCTATGGAGAGTGCGGCTGGATCTTGGGCCACAGAGATGGAGAGAGCCCTTGGCCGGTAATGTCGTCTTCCTTGGATGGGGCTCAGCAGAAGCTGACACAGATGTTCCAGGCAGAAAGCCTGTGGCCAGGTGGGGGGTACCAGAGATGAGTCAGCCCCTGGAGAAAACTCGCCGAGAGTGGGCGGCACGCATAGCTGTCTGCCCTGTGGCTGCCTGCTCTGTCGGCTGGGGCTGGACGGGCGAGTAGGGAAGTGGTGGTGGCCAGGATCTGGAAGAGGAACCACGGGATGGGGCAGAAGCGGCAGCTGTGGGGGAAAAGGGTGATCTTCGTGTTTTGGTGATGCTGTGTGATTCCTGCAGAACCGGGGAGGCCAGCCCAGCGTGGTGACTCTGCACCAGTCCTCTGCAAATGACCATAGTTGCTCCTCACCACCCTCCTGCTCTGTGCGCTCAGCCCCCTGCTTATGTGAAAGCTGGATCCTGACTCGGAGAAGTGAATTCAGCTCGTTGTGAGGAGGGCACACACAGAACAGGTGGCAGAGCAGGGAAGTAGCACAAATCTACCCGCCTCCTATCCACTACGTCAGGGCTCCTCTCAGTCCCTCTCACCAAGGAAGTGGCCCGGTGAAGACACACCCTGGGCAGAGCTGCGTACCCAGTTCCCACGTTGGACATGAACGTGGGTTACACGCACACGTCGGATGGAGGCCTCGCTCCAGCTGCACACACAAATGTCTTCCAATCCATGTGAATTTTGGATTATGTCACATTATAGTCATTTTTTAAAAATTCAGAACAAAGCATGACCTTCCTCTCCAAGCTTCCTAAGGAAATAAGCTCCAGAAGGAGACGAGTGTGTTGCGGAGCCCAGTGTTGTCGTCGTCGTCACCCTGCCCCACCCCCTCAGCTGTGTGCATGCACCCACAGCTGTGACCACACCACGCTGGTCCCCAGCACAAGTGGAGGTAATGAGACTCCAACCATTACCTAGCATTTGGCAGCTGCCAAAGGAGAGTGGGAAGGGAGAGGCTACAGGAACTGAGACGGCATCAAGGGGAAAGTGGGGTGCGGCCCAGACTGAGGCTTGTGTTGTCAAATGAACAGCATCACGTGCACAGAGGTGCCAGTATCCTAAAAACTAAAAGCAGTTAGGAGGTCACATGAGCCCAGCCATCTGGTTAACCAACATTCTCAGGATTTTAAATCTAGAACTAAATATAGCCCCTTCCCCAAACAGCACTCAGCATATTGAAGAGTGCAGATAACTTGGAACTTTGCATGTGGTGCCTGAGATAAAGATGTGGAGCTCTAGGCCTGGCTTCGAGAGTCCTAATGAACATGCCAGGCATTTCCTCTTTATTGTGTTGATTCTCTTTTGGTTTGTATCAAGCTCCCAAAACATAGTAGCTTCCAACAGCAACCATCATGTTTGTTTGTGGTATGTGGGTTGGCTGTGCAGTTGTTTTAGTCTGGAAGGGCTCTCCTGATACCATCTACTGGTGGCATGGCTGGGCCAGATGGCCTGGGAGGACCTTGCTCACATGTGTGGTGACTGGCAGGCTGGTTGTTTGCAGCCTTGGCTGCACATGGTCTGTCCTTCCCCAACCACTAGCCGGGTGTCTTCACATGGTGGTCTTACAGTTCCAAAAGCAGCAAAGGAGGACAGGCCCCAATACATATGGACTTATCAAGCCTCTGCTTGCAGCTCACTTGTTATTGTTGCTTTGGCCAAAGCCAATACCTCTTCCAAGCTTAGATACAATGTGGGAGGAGACTGTACAGGCCATTGATCCCGAAAGGCAGGGACAGATTGGGGCTCACCACTGCAACAGCTCTGCCATCCGTAAGCCTGAGATTTAACTCAGCAAGCAGCAATTGGTTCCACCTAATGCCCCCGGAAGACACCTCAGAACCATCTCGTGGTTCACCCTCCCATGAAAAAGCAGTGGCAAGTAGAACCAAAGAGCACAGACATGGTGAGTGTGATGGAAAATCCCCCAAGTGGCTGGAGACAGGAAGTGGTTGGGAGGTCAGACCTGGCCCAGCACCAGAAGAAAGGCCCTGACCTTCCACTCCCAAGTGCAGAGTGACCAAGAGGCAGATCTGGTCTCCGAGGTGCTGAAGCAAGAGACACCACCAGGGTAAGGGCAGGGCCGTGTCCTAGAAAGAGGTGCAGGTGATTTGGGACACTAGGCACTGGCCCTTGGTAAAGGGCAGTGACCAAAGGGACAGAAGCAGTGTTCCTTTGAAGGTGTAAAATTGGGATCTCTTTGTCAACGGAGATGCTGGTTGTGGGTGTCCAAGCTCAGTTGAGAGGTACACGTGTATTTCCATCAGTCTTTTAGCAAATGTTCTCTATTGGCAGAAAGTCTGGCATATCCCTTAAAGGAATGGTTCTCAAACTCCTGAGCAGGGTCCTTGTGCGGGTGGGGACCTAGGGACTCCAGGGCTCTGGTTGCTGCTTCATGCCCTGCAGATAGGTGCTTAAAAAAAAAAAGATAGCATTCACATAGCATACAATTTACTCAATGTGCAGTTTAGTAGTTTTAGTATGATCACAAAGTTGTATGTCCCTCACACATCAGCAGACGAGGTTTTATTTGAGCCCTGAAGGAGATTGTGTTTGAAGGAGGAAAAGATTTTGCCAATAAAATCCAGTTAGGAATGACTGTTTTAATTTTATTCTAGTTGAGGACCTTTTTCCGAAGAGAGTATGAGTTTCAAGTTCTATTTCAAATGCCAGGGAGAGCAGGAAAGAAACCTGATATCTGAGAATGATGAGGTAAAACCTATCGCAAACATTCACTTTTTTTTCACAGAAGGGCCATTTAGGGCCTCATTCAACATTTTTTAAAGCTCTTTTACACAGTTCTGAGGTGGTTAGAAATTAGAATGAGTGGGTGGCTGCAGGAAGACCCATGGATGCAGCTGAAGTACCTCAATGGTCTGGGTGGGGAAAGGTCTCTAATCAGCAGAGGGGGCTGCTTAGTGTGGGAACGAGTCCTCTGGCTCCCCCTAGCTGTCCCTAAAGGCACTACTGTGGGTCAGGCACCAGTGATTGAGTTCAGGTTAATGTTAAAAACAAAGAAGACCGGAGTCCTTCACGGTTTTCTTTGGAAAGGTCATGCTGATATCACACAAATGAACCATTCACGAATTGCCTTCCTCTCACTAATTTGATGGATGCATTCTTGGCAGGCCTCGTTTGGGGGCAAAGACGTAACTGCGCTTGCTATCGTCCTCCCACTAGGGTCTGTGTTTGTGTGCCAGAGGCCTGGGCTAATTGGATTATTTTCAGTTGGCAAACCTGGTTTTCCACCACGTAACACATGTTCATTGCCTCTGCTTTGTTCACAGGGCATGTTCCCGATCTGAGGTGAAACCATGAAGAGGAGATAGAACAAATAATAATGCTTTTCCGCAATCGCTTCTTGCTGCTGCTGGCCCTCGCTGCGCTGCTGGCCTTCCTGAGCCTCAGCCTGCAATTCTGTGAGTATCCAGGAGCAGAGGTGGCTTCGCTCTGAAACGGAGAGTCTTCCAGACAAACATGTGGGCCCAGAGCCTTTGTTGTCCAAATGAACAGTGGCGTTTAAAACGAGTCGTCCTGTTATTGGTGCTGATGGCGGAGGGCTGGGAGCAGGAACCCTGAACCGCTGAGCAGCTGTTCTGGGAGTCTGTCTTGGCCGTGAGGAACCAGAGTGCTCACCAGGCCTTGGGACCTGTTTTTGGCTTCTGCACACATTCCTAAACTGCCTGGTTATTCCTGGACTGTTCAATTCCCAAGGCAAGACACGGAGTGGCCCAGCTTGTTTTCTCGTCATGCCGAGCCACACAGAGCGGAGGTGTTCGGCCCTCTCTGGCTCATTCTTTGAGGGTTGGGTGTCTGTCTTCTGTTCAGTGAGCAGTGGGGCTGGAGTTGTTGGGGAGAGTGGGAGCAGTGGGTATAAAACTTGGCCCCCCAGGGCAGCAGGGACTGTGCATGGGAAATTACGTGCGGCGTGGCAGGAGCGCAGCCAATGAAACCAGGCCACAGACCTCAGAACCCAGCACTTTGACCTTCACTAGGAGCCTGTACACAGACTGAGTCCAAATCCATGCACCACACTGCTCCCTCCCCAAGGAGTGGCCATCCTCAAACACAGATCTGGCCCTAACCCCCTTGGTTGTAACCCTTCAGGGTGGCCCACGTGGTCTCAGAGGCCCTTCGCCATCCTGTGGCCCCTCTCACCACAGACTTGATGATGCAGCATTACCCAATTGCTTGGCAGTTTCTCCATATCCAGCCGGTGGTCTGTGCCGGGATCCCACCAGCCCCTCCACCCAGAGTGCTCTCCTCCTTGCCTCCCTCCCCCTTTCTCCTCCACCTGGTTCACTCAGTCCTTTTCTCCCGCAGGAACCTCCCATGACCCCCAACCGAGCCAGGTGCTTCTTGGACACACAACCAGAGCGTCCCAAACCTGTCTCCCTCCTTGCACTAACCACACAGTAACAATGATTTTCAGCTCTTACATCCCTCCCTGCTACAAGACTGTCTGCTCTCTGAGAGCAGGAACCACGTCCTGTTTCCTCCTCTGTCCCCGAGAAACTGCACTGCCCAACACACAGTACGTGTTTCACGAATGCTTGTTAGATGGATGAATGAATCTCCTCCTGCCCTAAAAAGCAGGCTGCTCTGGTTCCCTTGCCTTCTGGTGCTGACACTTGAAGTCACTAAACTGCGCCATGTTGGGAACGGTGTTCTTGTTGATGCCTGACTTCCCTCCCTTTACCTCCTCACCTGGGTGGGTGGGAGACAAGGGCTTGGTACCCATCACCACCGAGGACGCCTCTGTGAGGAGGTGGCGTTTCTGCTACAGTTTGAATGATGGAAAGACGAGCAAGTGGCTTGGCGAGTGGGATGTTCCACACGAGCCGCAGAACGTGGGCAAGACTTGGCATTCGGAGGTCTGCGGAGAGGCGGCTTGAGCAAGCCTCCCTGATTCACCCCAGTGTGTGACAGACTCCACGCGCGCGTCGGGTGCGTTTGACAGCCTGTTTCGAGCCTCGAAGAAAATTTAAAATACTCACTCCGTCCTTCCTTAATAGGAAAAGTGGTCGAGAGAAGGTGGACATAGAAAGTTTAAAGATACTCCAGATGGTTAACCAACCATGAAATATGAATCCTTCCCACAGAGTGTGTTTGGGCTCTCTGTCATTTAATTGTTTATAACTTTTCATTAAAAGTTTTCCATCCTTTGTTTGGAGAGCTAGGAGGTTACAATCAGCCTTGATTTGGATCCTGAGAAGCTGACAGGGTCTGAGACGTGAATGGGGGTTGCTTGTGTTTGCTGAGTTTCTTTTGCATGAGGTGGTTTCCACATCACTGAATTGGCCTGTGTGTTTTGCTTATATAACTCTTGTGAAAGTCGCTTCTGTTTTAGGAGAGCCAATTTTCAGCCACACTTTTTGAAAGGAAAATTTTGCAGGGTAAATTAGCCTGCGTAGGTCTGAGCTCTTTTCTTCTTGGATGCGTTGGAGTTTGGAAAGAAGTTAAGATATGGATGCTCTTACTGCTCTTCTACTTCTAGGTAAAATGTAATTTGGGGATTTACCCATTTCTGTATGTAATTGCTTTATATCTCTAGTTGCTTTGTTGGTTGCTCGTTTTTATGGTGTTAGAAACTTTGCTAATTCATGATACAAAGGTATATGCTTGAGTAATACTTATGTTTTCATTCCTTCCCTGAAATATATGGACTTTTTCTTCACCATTTCTTTTGACTAATTTTTGAATACTGAATTAGCATGTACAATTCTTTTAGGGAATATATTTGAGGCAAATCAGATGTAACTTGGTTTTCTCATGCTTTAAGTAAACACTACAGTTTATTTATTTGCTTTCTGCAATGATTATATATTTTGTCCTGTTGGTACTTTTCTTTTTCTGATGTTTTGAACAGGAGACAGTTATGACCCAGGTTACAATTTTAAAAATCAGGTTGTTTAAATAAGCATTTTTCTTTCTTTTAACACAGAAAGAATGTCCGTGAACCCACATACATTTATTAAGTGCTCATGTGTGTTGGGTATTTCTCTACACTCTGGGGGTACAGGTCTCAAAAAAAGGATAAAAAAGATTAAGATACAGTTTTTAGCTTCACAAAATATGTTTATTTTAAATGGTACCAATAACTAGCTATTTGCTTATAGCCTTTAATAAAAATCTTTCATTTTGTATTTTCAAGTCCTTGATGGTTTTGAGTTTTGAAATAGGGACATTCTGAAATTCCTGATATTTAAATTGTAGAAAGGAACAAGTAAGTGTAAATATCTTTAGTTATTCCAGTGAAAATGAGCACAAAGAGAAGAATAACATCTCAAATTGAGGAACTTTTTTAGGGCAACAGGGAAAGACCATCGGGACGTGAAGACTCATGAATGATTAGTTGGTTTCCTTTTTCTGCTCCTTTGTAATCGTCCATTTTCCTGCTCAGCTCAGCCTGTGCTTAGCACACATGTTATGCTCATTTCACTGTGCTCCCACTGGCGCTCCCCAGATGGCAGCCAGGCAGTGGGCAGGCTCTGGAGTCACAGCCCTGGTGCCCTGCCACTCAGCAGTGGTGCGCCCTCGGGCAGGTTTGACTTCCAGAGCCTCTGTTTCTTCTTCTGTGAACTGGAGTAAATTGTCTTTGCAATCATGGTTGTTGCTTTGCTGGTTAGTGTGAGGACGGAAACCTTGTGGAAAACCCCTTGCCTCTGGAGGCATAATCAGCATAAATCTTTTTTTGTAATCCTCTCCCAAGGACCTGCCTATTGATGTTAGAGAGAGGGGAAGGGAGGGAGGAAAAGAGAAACATCAATGTGAGAGAGAAACAATGATTGGTTGCCTTCTGAATGTGCCCCAGTCGGGGACCAAAGCTGCAACCTAGGCACGTGCTCTGACTGGGAACTGAACCTGCAGTCTTTTGGTTTACAGGATGATGCTCCAGCCAACAGAGCCACACCTGCCAGGGCAGCATAAACCTTTTAGCAACAGTACAGAGTCCCGTGGCAATGCACCATCCTCAGAAACCAAGGCTCTTGGTGTTCCAAAGGCTGCCAAGGCTAATGTTACTGTAGCTGTGGGGGGCAGAGGAAAGGGGAATACATCACACATTCATTTGTTTTGTATCAGACTTCATTGGCCATGGTAGGGCTTAATGTGAACTGGGCACATGGCACCTATAGCTGGAGGTCACCTTCTTGGGCAGGGCCCCAGATGACCAGAGCAGGTTCCAAGGGAGATGGCAAAGGTAAACTGGAGGTGCAGATCCCCAGGCGGAAGAGGGCGGGGTTGCCCTGCGGAAGTGAAAGCCACTTCTTCAGTATCTGAAGAGCCCTTTCTGCAAGAGGAGCTGGGCCTCTTGTGGGGGACCATGAAGACACATTTCAGTCAAGCGTCAGTGTCACGCAGAGATGGAATGGGTGGATGCCACCTCTGGAGTGTTGCTTTATGAAGAGTAGACCCTAGGTAGGTTGTTGCACCTGATCCCATTTACAGTCTCTTCAGACTCTAAGGTTTTACGATTTCGTGTTCCTTGTGGATGCAGTGTCATGCATGCATGTGCCACATCGTCGCTCTGCAGAGGCCCCTCGAGTTTCCGCTGTGTGCTAGGCCTGGGCTGGGAGGGTCATGTCTCCGGGGCTGCGGGAGCCCTGCGTCCACTGGAAAGTCAGGAGCAGACACTAGAAACGCAGTGTGCTAAGTGCCAGGATGGGTAAGAGGTGGCAGCGTGAGGACACGAGAAAGAACACGGACACAGGAGCCAGACTGCCTGCGGCAAATCCCTGCCCTCTACTTACCAGCTATGTGGCACACTATTTCCCCTCTCTGTGCCTCAGTTTCCTCATCTGTAAAATGAGTATAATGAGAGTCCCTATTTCATAGGGTCAGTAAAGGACTAAGAAAACCGATACTTACGAAACACTTAGAATAGTGCTTGGCACATAGTAATCACTGCATGTATGTTTGCTAAATAAAATGAATTCAAAATCACTTAAGGCAGGGGGATATGGGAGGATAGAGGACAAGAAGCTAATCCAACCCGGAGGTCAGAGGAGACTCCCAGAGGAGGTGACATCTGAGCTTTGTTTTTGAGGGAAGAGGAGGAGCTGGCTAGGGAGGAAGCTGGGAAGGGCATTCCTGGCTGCTGGGAATGGGAATGCATGGGCACACAGAGAGAGGGACACAGCTAGTCACCTGTGCGCAGCTGTGAAAGTGGACAAAGGCCAAGGCCACCCCTGTCTCCACGTTCTCTCCTGAAGGAGCAGGGAGCCGCTGGGGCGGGGAAGAAACCATCAGTCTCGTGTCCTGAAAAGACCACAGTTCCACACAGTGTTTGCCGCAGTGTGGTCTCCTGAGCCCCTCCATCCCAGTGACCCAGGGAGCTTGTTAGAGCGCCTGTTCCAAAACCAAAAAGAGAGCGCACACTTTGGACCCCTCCCTTCAAACTCAGAATCTTGGTGTGTGT